GGTGCGGGACACCTTTCTAGAGGTGGCAAGCGCGACGCTATCTGACGATGGACATGTCTGCTGTCCACAGATTTTTCGGGTACGACGGTCGAGTAGGAAGCCCTCCTGTGGTATACCGAACTACCCTTCCGTGAATTACCTTGAGTCGGGCTGTCCTTTGAGTGACGAGCTGCTTGTAGCCAGTTATGCCGAGCTGGCTGATATGAGGTGTCTAAGCCTCGGGGTGTCCGGAGATGGATCTGTGCGTTCCTGTCTGGGAGTGGCCCGCGGTCCATTGGGGGGAGCTCAGGCCTTAAGAGAGGTCAGGGTGCCCCGAACTCGGGACCCCCCAAAGTGCCTTAACCCCGGGGAGGAGGTGCGGGTAAGGCGGCTTCCGGCGAGTGGCTTACCCGCCCAGTTGCCGAGCTGAGCTCGGTGGGACTTTCCCTCCGAGTTGTGGTCACGTCCGTTGCGCTGTCATGTTGAGTCACTGTTTGAGTAAGGTCACACCCACGTGTACCCATGTTGCGAGGTCGAGCCAAATCACCCTCCATCAACAATAATTATTAATTATAATCCCTAATTATATATTTATTAAATTATTGCAATAATCAATAATTATTAAAACCAAGTTAAAATAAATAGATAGTAGTATTTATCTAAGTTGGGTTTATAAATAAAATTGGGTTTGGTATTTATAATTAGTAATAGTTAGTAATTATAATAGTAATGGTTAGTAATTATATTCGGTAATGGCAGTAATTGCCATTTGGTGAAAGGGGAGACCACCCCTTTCTATTAATATATATATATATATATATATAGTAGGGACCTGTGCGATGCACAGGAAAATGAAATGCAATTTTTGACAATTTATTGTAATTTATTTAGGTTCATATTATTTGATAATTTGAAGTAATTATCACCATAAGTTCTACTATTTTATGGAAATTAGTGGTTATTTTTCCCTAAGTTCTACTGATTTCTATTATATAACATTTTATGATAATTCTTGGTAAATATAATATTTTATGGAAATTAGTGGTTATTTTTGGCTAAGTTCTACTAATTTATGGTAATTTTTATTATACTAATTTATGAGGATTTTTGGTCAATATATACTTATCATATGATAGTTTATTGGTCAATTAGTGGAAATTAGTTATATTATATAATTTATAGTAATTTCTATTATATACTAATTTCTTGGTAAATATATACTAATGTATTATATTTATTATATGATAGCTTATTGGTAGATTCTAGTAATTTATCAATTTTATGGAATTTAGTGGCTATTTTTGGACATTTCTATTAATTTATGATAATTGTTGGCAAATTATTTTGATGTATTTCGGGCTATATTATTTGATAATTTCAAGTAATTATCATCATAAAGTCTACAAATTTGTGATAATTTATTTTTAGTGTTTTTTATAAATATTGGTAATTTATGTCTAATAATGGTAACTTATTTTGATTTATATTTGATAACTTTTATAATTATTTGGCAACTGTTATTATTACATTATTTGACAATTTTAGGTATAACAATTGTCAAATAAAAAGAATCAATTAGCAATATTTTTAACTTACAATATGTAACAATTTTCAAAGCACAAAATATAAAAATGTAAACCAAAGCAATTCAAGGTTCAAAGTATCGACACGTATCGGCCTGTATCAACCGATACATATCATGCTAGTGGCTTCCCAATATGCCCTACAGGGGTTGTATAGGGTCAACCACTGGTTTAGAGGGTAGCCAGGCCTTAAACCGGCCCCTTTGAACCAAATTTGGAAAAAAAAAAGCAATGACACATGGCATATCAGCCCATGTCAATCTTTAGAACCTTGAAGCAGTTCATTAAGCTAAATGCAAATAATGTTTTTAACTAACATTATGTAACAGTCTTCAAAGCACAAAAGCCCAAAAATTTAAACCAAATATTAGCAAAAAGATAAACATTATTTTTGCTGATTTTTGTTAACATTATTTATTAAATATTAATTATTAACAACACTTATCAATTATAGTAAGTAATTATAATATTTTATTAAATAATCAGTAATGATAGTTTTAATAATATTATTTAATTATTTTTAATATAACAACAATACTTAGATTTATGAATAGGATTTTTTAACAATATTTATTAAATTAATAATTACCAAAATTAAATTATATTATCAGTAATAGTTAGTAATTATATTATTTATTAAATAATCAATAACAATATTTTCAATAACATTTTTATTTATTTTAATATAAAAAATAATTACTAAATTTATTAACAATATTTATAATTGTAATTTAAAGTAAATATCTATTTATTAACAATATTTATAATAAAAGTAATTATTAATTATAATCACTAATTATATATTTATTAAATTACTGAATAATTGGTAATTATAAAAATTGGGTTAAAATAATTAGATAACAGTATTTATTTAAATTGGGTTTATAAATAAAATCGGGTTTGGTATTTATAGTGAGTAATAGTTAGTAATTATAATCAGTAGTTAATTACATTCAATAATTAAATTATTGTCATTTGGCGAAAGGGGAGTTCTCCGGTCCGTATTAATATATATATATATAAAAGATATATGATTAATAAATTTTACATGACAATATATAACCCACAAACAATGTTGGCTTATTCAAACCAACTTGGCCGATTGGAAATATCATAAGCTCCTTTTAAAATAGTAAACAAAATTGTAATTGTAATTAATAAAATTACAAACAATTTTAAAAAATCGTCACACACAACTAGGTCACCTAAAAAAAAATATTTTGAACCGACTTGAATGAAGTTCAATTGAAAATATCATTCAGCTCGTTGTGCTTCAAATTTATTTAAGAAAGCCTTTTTATTAAGTTGAAATTATTAAGGCGGTGTTTAGCATCGTGTTCATCTTGTGGACAGGATCGTCCATGGGATGAACACCCATTCGGCTGGCTGTGGACGGGCATCGTGGACCGGTCTCATCTACACCCAAATTTCTCATCCACGGCAATAACTCGTGGTTAGGGCTCGTCCACACTATTTTTTGGTCCCCTACTTCACATTCTCCTTGAAAATGCTGAAACCCTATTGTATGTTTCACATTTTAATATTTTGTCACTAAAGTATTAATTATTTTACTTATATTTTAAATTTTTAATGTTTTGATCAATAAAATAATATTTTTTAAAATTGTAATTATTTTACTATTATTTTTATAAAAAATAATATTTATTGGTTAATATTAATTCATTGATGCATTTTCAATATATTTATCATATAAAATGCAAAAATTATATATTTATGATTAACTGTGTAAATCAAGGTTTTCGAACTGTCGTTGACTTGAACGGTCAGATCGTTCGGCCCGGGGACCATCCAGGCAATCGGTTTTATTTTACCCCAAACATAGTTTTTTGCCAAAAACCATTGAAAAAAATCAACAACCCGTTGACCCGGGTGGTCGAACTGTCGACCCATTCAACAGTTTTGATCATTTTTTTTTTAAATTTGTTTGTCATAATGAGCCGCCCGTTTGAATCGAACGGTTGGATCGTTAACCCATAAACCGGTGGCCATAATAGTTCCATTTTTGTGTTGTTTTTTTAAATGTTGGTATAGATCATTCATACCACTATGGGCACAATTCATAGCAGCTGTGGACTTTGGTGTGATGTGGATTGATCCATACTCATCAATCTTTCATCCACACTACACAACACCCCTAAGGCTCCGTTTGGTTTGTGAAAAGATTTGGGTGGGATGGGATGGGATGGGAAAGTGTAAAAATGTACTATTCCATTGTTTGGTTTTATACATGGGAAAATAATAGGAAAACACTGTTATGAGGGAGAAGAGAGAAGAGGAAGATGGAGAGAGAGACAGGGAACTCCACGACTGAAGCTCCTATTTTTGTCTGCGAACCCATAAGAAGAAAGAAAAGAAGAGAGGAGAAAGAGGGAGGAAGGGAGTGTTTATGACCTAATGTTTGCGAACCCAAATCTAAGTTCTACCATGGCAGGACTTAGATACGTGTCTACGAACCCAGAAGAAGAAAGAGAATAAGAGATGAGAGAGGGAGGAAGGGAGTGTTCCCGACCAGTGTCTGCAAACTTAGAAGAAGAAAGAGAAAAAAAGAGGAGAGAGGGAGGAAGGGAGTGGCTGAGAGGGGGTGCCGCTGCCGCTGCTCTGTTTCTGGGTTCGAATGGAGAGGGGTGCCGTCGTCGCTGGTTTCGTCAAAGGAGAAAGGAAACGGTGGTTTCTCACATTTTCCCACTCGGATCGCATGATTTTGGTACGACCCCAAATTCACAATTTTGGAACCTGATATTCTACATTTTTTTCATTCCATCTCTTATTTTCCTCAAAACAAATAAAAGAAAAATAAATATTTTGAAATATTCTCTTTTTCTTATCCCCATTCTACAAACCAAACGTAGCCTAAGTAATCAAGTTGGGGCCCATTTCCCTTGGTCGAATCGGCTGATACTAACATTAGGCGGAAAAAAGGCGAGTCTTCTCTGTGCTCAGCCTACTGTTTCTTAAAGAGATGAAGTCTTCCCGTGCGAAAGTTATTGCTTGCAGGAAAGGCTCTTCTTAGGACAGTGGTAGTTAGAGGGTTGTTTTTCTTTCATACGAAAAAATGCAGACGACGTATCAATACCATCATTTGGTGTTGTTTTGTTGGAATAAAATCTTTTACCACAAAAAAAGCAGTAATTTTGTCTATTTCGAAATTGAACCCGATCCAGTGAAGACTCTGATTTTTATTTTTTTTTTGGGTGAAGCTGAATTTGATTCATTTATAACCGGATCAAATATGGTTTATCGCAACTTAATCCAATATAATATAATCCAACAATTCAATGTGATAATTAATATCTAAAATAAACATTTAGATTTACCAGGCCAAAGTAGCTGGAAAAATCTCATGTGTATATAATCTTCCCGTCCCGCGTATAACCGTATATACGTTAAGCAGAGAGAGAGAGAAGGGTGGGGACTGGGGAGTGGGGTTATATTGTTGTTTATTTGTCTGTCAGCTCCGCCAGCCACAAACCAGAACTCTGAATCGAGGAGCGTAATTATTTGAATGTTCTGAGTTAAGAGATTTATTTCATTCTTCCCTGAATCGTGGAAGTCTAGGGTTACATTCATCGCTTCTGGGATATGTGATTTCATTGGCGGAAGCGTTTCTTCATTTATGTCCCAAGTCAATAAGGTTAGGGCTTTTTCACAATCCATACCAAACTCGTGGAATTAGGCCACAAGCCTGTCTTTCCCTTTTCCATTATCGGGATCTCTGTTGGTCGACATGTGAGTATCGAGTTAAGAGGGAGATTAGTGGTTTCTGTTTCACCAGATTAGAGCTGTTTGATTACGATAACAGAAGCTTTGTTGTCTCTTTATGCCCATGCGCATCGTAAGGCTATAAAATATAAGAATTCATGTTCTATAAGCATATCATTCTGAAGCGATGAATGCAAGCCATCCTGCAGTGCACCCAATAGAAGCTCCCCCACTCACCGATGCTGCAGGCAATGTACCGAGAGTGAGAATGAAGGACATCCAAGGCATGCCTGGAACCTCCGGAGGGGTTGCCTTACGTTTATCTCAGTCTGTCTTTGCAGTTGCAGCAGTTTGCGTCATGGCTTCTACCAACGATTTTACCTCTGTCACAGCCTTCTGGTAACGTGTTATTTCTGTCATTTCTTATTCTGATGTCTCTACCCACTTTATCATCCTATCGGCTTCTTTTTCATCATATTGGGTTCTTTTAGACATCAGACTAGGGATGCAAATCTAGTTCGATTTAAATATTGCTTTTATTTTTTCACTACAGAATTTACTCAAACTCACAAGTTTCCAACTATGAACGCATATTAAGGACAAAAAAAAACATTGTTACTTATAAAAAAAAAGGACAAAATCCATAAAATTTGACTTACTGAGAGCCAGAGATCAATCATGTATTCATGTTTTCCCTATGTCTTTGCACAAGCGAGAATGTTAATACAGAACTCTATCTGACCATCTTTTACCAATCCCATGCTTACATGATATCTATTTTTCTTGAATCCAATCGTTCAGGCCTGTAATTGCATGAAACTCTTAATGCATGTTGTTGGCTTGATTGAGTATACCTGGATATGTTATTTTCATGTCCCATATGGCACTCTGTTATTTATAAGGAGTTTTTTTTCTGATAAATTATTTATAAGGAATTTAGCCTGCTAATGGGGAACCTTGTGAAATATCATTGTCAATGTTGCATAACTCCTTTCTACACAACCAGTTAACTGCCATTTTATATACTATGCTGTAGAGCAAAACAAGGAAAAAAGTAAAAACCATGTAGTGACCTTTTTTTTTTGTTTTTATTTGAGAAAAACCAGAGAATGTGAAAGTATGTGATGCCATTGTTTTGAATACCATATGCTGGCTCTTGAAGTGAGAAACACCATTCATCCTGCTTAGAAGCTTATGCCAGTTAATGGCGATTCAAGCTATATATCCCTCTGCATGGAACTAGAAGTACATTAAGGAATAATGGTAAGCCATCATTTATGTGCATCTGCTCCTAATAAAATACACAATGAAACATGAAGTGCACATAAGCAAATTGGGATGTAACTTAAGGCTGTTTCATGGAAAAAAATTGTTGAGAATGCTTGGGCAAGGGTGTTTTAGTCTTCTCATCATCTTTTTGTATTTGGCGCCCAAGTAAGGGCTTTCTTGTAATTTTTTATTCAAAGTATGAATAGCAAGTTTGAAGGTGTGAACAGAAACACACACTTCTCATTTGAAACATCCTTCTTCTACAAACCCTAGATCAACAACTTGGTATTAGAGCATATAGGGGCTCTTAGGAAGACTTTTTCTATTGATCCTCTCCCATGAGATGATTTGCTGACATCATAGCCAAATGATGTCAGTAATCTGTACAGGTGATGGTGGTAGTCTATGAATCCTACATGGTTTGGCTTGCCTTGATTTTAGAAGTTTTTTGGTATGATTATTGCAGTTGTTTGAAGCTTCTATGATTTTTTGTAGATTTTTCAAGAAGAAAATTGCAGAGATTCCAGACCTGATGTTGGGCCTAATACAACATGTTTAACGGAGTTTTTTATTGCAAAACCTAGACCATTTGGGTTATTTTACATTTTGGGAATAAGTATTTTAAAAGGCGTGGGAGGCGTACGCCTGGAGGTGCGCCCAAAATGCCCTGAGGCGTATGCTAGAGGCGCTAACACCTCTGAGGCATATGCTTCATGTGCTTTTTTCATGAGGTGTGCTAGAGGCGTACGCCTCATGTGCCTCATGCACACCTCATATAAAAGGATTGAAAAAAAGAAAAAGGAAAAAAAAGGAAAGGAAATGAAAAGAAAAGAAAGGGAAGGGAAAGAAAAAGAAAAAGAAAAAGAAAAAGAAAAAGAAAAAGAAAAAGAAAAAGAAAGAAAGAGATTTATCAAAAAAAAAGAAAAAGAAAGAAAGAGAAGAGGAAAGGGAAGGGACGGAAAGATCAGGGGAATGAAAGTGATGTGCATCTTTATTCTTTTTAATATAAAAGATTGTTATTAAAAATAAAGAAAAAATGAGATCCCCCTTCCTCTTCTTCCTCCTCCCCTTCCTCTTCCTTCTTCTCCTTGACCCCCTCCTCTTAAGGAGGCTTACGCCTCCTTGTGTTTTGGAAGCTTATGCCTCTTACGTTCTGAACTATGCCTCACACCTCTAGGTAGTGGGTCGCCTCGTGTCATGCCTTCGGGTTTTAAAACATTGTTTGGAATGATGGGAAGTGGTCCCGTAATTTTCTAAGCCCTAAACAATTTTTGAGAGATTTTCTTCTCTCTCTATTTTGCTATTAACCTAGTTTTTTGGCCTCCTTGTGTCTCTTAACCGTGTGATAGAGTATGGAATCATCCAAGGATGTACATATAGTTTCCAATGTGCTATTGGGCAATGCAAATATTTCTAATGGTATGATAACCATTGTTAAATTTGATGGAACCAATTTCTTAGAGTGGTTCCAATATGCTAAGCTTAGCATCACAGAGAGAGGTATGTTGGGATTCATTACAGGAAAGGAGGTGAAGCCAAAACTTAAAGATCCGAAATTTGCAAAGTGCGACTGTGCGAGCAAGATAACTCCCTTGTAATGTTATGGTTGATTAGCTCAATGCAACCTCATATTGCCTGTAACTACATGTTTCTTCCAACTGCTATAAATATTTGGGATAGGGTTGTTTCCACCTACTGGTCTTACTCCTAGGTTAATAATACTTGAGTTTACTAGCTTCGGAGGGAGGCTTGTAGTATGCATCAAGGGGAGAGATATGTGGCCATGTACTTTTCTTCTCTACAATCTATCTGGGAAGAAATGGATCACTTGAAAACTCTAGTATGGAAAGACCTTGAAGATGGTGAGGAATTCCAAAAGTACATAAAAGAGAATAGTTTTTGATTTCTTGGCCGGCTTGAACCTAGAGTTTGACTTTACTAGGCAACATATTCTTAGTGCCAACATTGTCACTCTTACTTCTGCTTACTACCTTGTACAAAGGGAGGAGAATAGAGGGACCATCATGATGCACCTTCTATGATTGATCACTCTGCCTTTATGCCATTTCAACCTAGGCAAAGTACTAGTAAGCATCTTGCTACTGAGAAGATTGAGTATATTATTTGTGATTATTACAAGAAACCAAGACATACTAAGGAAAAGTGTTAGAAGCCCAATCCTCGTTTAAGGCTAGAAAAGTTCAAAACTGGGAAGAAGGGCAATGCTCACTTGGCTACAATTGGTAATGATGTTCAGTCTTTTGATGCTCCTGACTCCTTGATGTAATGGATAAACTCCAGAGTATCTTGTTGCAGCTGGAAAAGGGTGGAACATCCTCCTTGTCTGGTTCTGGTCCTAGTAATTCATCTAGTTCATATGCTAAGAAAAGTATTGCACTTGCCCGTTCTACATCTTCCGGCCCATGGATTGTAGACTCTGGGGCCAATGCCCATATGACTGGTATGCCTTTACTTTTACTAAATATAAGTTAACTCCAGGGAAGGGTACAATTGCTGTTGTTAATGGATTTCAGATCCCTATCTTAGGTCAGGGTGAAGTTAAACTTACCTGTACCTTTTTGAAGATAAATAAAAGAGAAAAAAATATTGCTGAAAATAAAAGACACATCCAACTTAAGTGACCAGAGTCACCCCAGCACAACAACAACAAAAAGAAAATTACATAACCAAATCAAATCTTAAACATTTAGAGTATGCCAAAAGTCAGAACCAAAATCTTCTTTCTTTAGTCCCTCAAATTCTGGGAGTACCAACACCCAGCCAACAAATAAAGAAGAGATTGCTGCCCCAACTTCTTCCAAGCTTTTCATTCTCCCTTCAAAAATCCTCTTGTTTCTCCCTCCAAACCTCTCCCTTCAAAAATCCTTTAGTACTTTCCACAACTCACAGCCAATCACCAAAGATTCTAGCAGAGTCCACTGGTGCCCATATAGTCGCCTTAAAGAGCTTAAAGTAGGACCAGATCCTTTTCACAAAGAAGCAATGAACCATCAAGTGCATAACATTCTCATCTTCAGCAAAACATAGCACACATCTGTTTGGGAATTGATAGCCTCTTTTCTTCAATATGTCCTGTGTAAGAATGCAGCCTCTAGAAATCAGCCATGCAAAAGCTTCGGTTCTTGGGAGGTCAGCCTCCATCTAGGACCTCATTAATGCATTATACATGGATTTGACAGTAAATCTCCCATCTTTGCATTCTTTCCACCATTTTATATCAGCAGATGAAGGATCAGCTTGCAGGATCTGGTGGCATTTTATTGGTGCAGCCATGCTGGCCTGGGTGATTGGTTCACTGTTGGATCTTCTAAGGGCCTTGTATGGACCTGGATATGGTGCCAAGGGAAAAGTAATCTTGTAGCTTATCCCTGGAGCAATCATCTGGACCATTTGGACCGAGAGAAAATAGAAGAGTGTTTTCGAGCAGATCTAGGTGTGTGTGGGGCGCTGATCAAGGCTGTGATTGGTAGAATTGGCTCCTAGGTTTCTGTTTCTAAGGGATTCACTGATATGTCTCTGGTCGAGCTTTGTGATGGTTCTCAGTTGTGGCTTGACTGATGTATTTGAAGTGGAATTTGCCTAGTTGGCAAACCTGTTTGTATGTTGTATCATTTGGTTTCTATCTAATAATTACCTTTATCTGTTTTCCAAAAAAATCCCTAAAATAGTACATTTGTGAACCAATTAAATGTTTAGTCAGTTAGACCCAACAAAGCATTCTCCAAAATACTTGTGACTACATGTAAGTTGTTTAACAACATACCGCTACAAGTGGGCAAGATGATGTCTTACACTCAAATGGAGCTGTCATGGGATGTTACGGTAAGATTGTTCAGCAATTTTTAATGAAATTGCAAATGCGCTGGCAGTTCATGATTTGGTGATGAGCTGCTTTAAAGCTTGGCCTGGGGTTTGATACTTTAGTGGATGGTTCTATGTCAAAAGTTCTAAAATGGAATTGTGCCAAACAAATTCTCAAGTTTCTGAATTCAGCATGGTGCCTTTTTGGAGCCAAACTGCAAAATTCAAAATCTTGCGAATTTGGGGGAAATATCCTTCTCCAGATTTCTCTTCACAATCCAAAAACCACCTAGTGAAATCTTCTATGGTTGCTAATAACAAATAAAAGTGAAAATTTTGTGCCTGAACATGTATGTAGATCAACTTTTCAGGAGGTGGACAGAAATTTTTTCATTGGTGAAGGTAAATGGACCATCATTTCTCCAAATATTTATCATCTGCTAAAAACAACTCAAAACATGGTGAGAATCCAGGTTTCTTGAAATTTAGACGAGTTTTTTTATTCTAAAATCTATACTATTTTTTGATAGGTAAAAAACAAAAATTTCATTAAAATAAAAGAAAATACAAGAAGAAGGTGATGAGTCATCACCCACTACAACCAAGAATGTAGGATCCAAACTCAAAACACATTTTCCAGATTACAAATATGAATTTCCAGCACTTCCCCTAAATTTTCCCCCAGATCCCTTCTATCAATATGTCTGAACTCTGGATGAACCATAATCTGATTTTTTTTTTTTTTTTTAAATTCTAAAATCTAGACTATGATTTTAGGTTTTCAGTTAGTCCAATAGTCCACTTTGAGCCATCTTCCATTTCATTGTTTATATTTCCACTTTGATGATTGTGCTTATGGTGCTTGATCAAGTGAAATTTGTTTCTAGTACATGAATTTGGTATTGACCAACCTTTTTTTGCATGTCCTGTCCGTTACTTGTGTCAGTTACCTTGTAGCAGCAGTCGGCTTGCAGAGTGTGTGGAGCTTATCACTAGCTTTTGTTGATATATATGCCCTTCTAGTGAGGCGATGCTTGCGGAATTCCCGAGTTATCAGTTTGTTCACCATTGGTGATGGGGTAAGTTATGTCTGATAATACCTTGTGGCGAGTTTAATTTTCAAAATGCATGGTGTTTAAATGGTGGCGCACAGGAATATCTGCAATAATTTGAGATTGTTGCTTGAAAACTCTGACCTTGTATCGACTTTGATATGTGCTGTAACAAAACTTTATTAAGGGTCATGTTTTCCCCAGTTACAATTTTAGATTTGGCCCGGGAGGGGGGTTAACAGTGTTATGCAGATTTTTCTAAAGGAATGAAGTGTTTGTGTTGGATTCTGACAGTCCATGGATTCTTGAGGGACACTTTGCACACCATTTTCCTTTTTTTTTTTTGATAAATCATACCATTTTTCTTTCTCTCCTTGCTTATTTTACATAAATGAATAGCCAATATATGCAATGAATGACATTTTTCTTAAGCATTATTTAAGCAACAAGATAAACTTCTAGACCCATTTTCTATAGGCATATAAATATAGAACTCAAATGAAATCTGAGCTATTTTAATAGCTTATACTATCTCATACTAAGGTCATTGAGTTCATGTTCTTTGGTATTGTTGAGTCAGACTCCTGGACAGTGCTGGATTTTGATTTCTGTCTTTGTGTCTGTGAAATTCCTTCTGCTTCTTTGACCTTTATCTCACTAGCTGGTCATAACTCAAGAAATGCACTTTGACCACAAATCAGAACTCCACCTTTTCTCACCAAGAAAGGGATCTGCAGGGCCTCAACCTTTGTTTTCTTGTTAAAAAGTGTATTAAGTGATAAAGTCATTAGCAGACAAGATTCTAACAATTAATCATTTAATCTCAAGAAAAAGAAATTTTGGAAGCTGTTGCAGTCTCTGTAGAACAGAGGAAACTGTTCACCTTTAGCATATGGTCTCATTTCTTGCTTTTCAAAGGAAAGGACTTGGGCTACTGACCCCAATATACTTCCCTATGCTTCTCTCTTCTTGACCTGTTAGAGGGTTATGCAGCCAGGGAAAAATTTTGTTGAACCTCCTTTTTTGTTTTTTTCCAGAATGTAAGGAAGGAAATGGCTTTACCTTTGGTGGTAAAAACTAGTGCATGAGAGATTGATAAGAATAATTGAAGGGAGGCTGGTTAGCTGGGTCACAGCTCACAGTTTGAAGGATTTCAGATATGATAGTTTCAAAGACGTTGAGAGGACATAATGTGCAACACTTCTGTTGATGAGTAGCAGTTTATATATGTAGATGATTGTTTATGGTTTACTGTTATTACCACGGGGCTTTCATCCCCTTTTTTTGGTATATTAATATAATATAATACTCTCTTACCACTTATTAAAAAACATAGTAATAAATCATAATCATCATCAAAGTTGTGTCAACTTTTATGTGCACTTTATTTATGTTGTATATTTTTGGTTTCTTTTTTAAATTATCAATTAGTTGAATGACACGTGCAAAAGGAGGGAGAGGAAGAAAGCACATGATCTCTGTTATATCAACTCTTCTGTTGATAAGTATCGACATTATATGGTAAAAATGTGCATATTTAATTTCTTTCTACATCAATGATTGCAAAGGTGAAAGAAGAAAAAGCTCCTGTTTGGCCTTCCCCATCTTAAGAGGCTCTACTTTGCACCAAACTATGCCTTACCGGTACTAACCTGGTCTTTACTATCCATTGTTTTTTGATAGGCATGGTCTCTGTTATACTTGACTGAACAATTGCAGTCAGCTTCTCCTTATCTTGTTGCCTATTATCCCTGTTTCCTACCTTTTTTTTATTCGCTAACAAGCTATAACTTTATCGATATTGTGTAAAATAACAAACCTTTTTTTTTATCAGAAAAAAAGATTTCATTAAGACTTAAGGTTGAACTTAATAGAACTGTTGGGAGATTCCAACACCCTTCAGTAACAACGTTTACAAGTTTGCCCAGAAAAGACTTGGCCTATCTACTCCCTGTTTAGCTAATGCATCTGTTACCCCATTTGCAGTTCTTCTCACCCAGCTGAAGCTTATTTCTTTGCAATCACACCAATTTCCATAAACACATGTTTGTATTTCCAAGGTGCTTCTTTGACTAGCTGTGACTCACCTTCAACTTCCAAATCTCTAAGACTAAGCTGTTATACTAATCTCAAACCTTGTAGGAATGCAATGATTTCTGCATTGACTGAATCTCCTAAGCCAGCTGGACCTGAATACATCACAACCACCAAACCTTGATGGTCTCTCACGGGTTGCCCATAGAGCTGCCATCAAAGTTCAATTTCAGTTTACTTTCAGCTGGTGGCTTCCAATCCATTTTCACCTCTTCAGAGTGTCTACCTGTTTGTGCTACTTCAGACCAAGTTCTGACAATATTATTGACTGAAAAGACTCTGAATGTTTCCAAGGTTTTTACCCAGTGTGCAGCTTTGACTAGGATAACTTCCATTAAGTCCTCCTTAGATCTGCACTTTTCATTGAAGATTCTATTGTTTCTCTCTTCCCAAATTGTCCACACAAATGCAGCTCTTACTGTTCTCCACATGATCATCAACACCAATGTAAAATGACAAACCATTACTCTCTGTTATGGAGAAATAGGAACATGTCAATTACAAAACAGCCAATGGCTGACAAATAGAGTTCATTGATGCAATTGCATGTTAATTTAACTCCCTGCTCCTTTGTAAGTATTTTTCCACGGTGTCAACCTTGCACACCTGTCAGCTAATCTATTAGCTGATCCCATTCTTAACTTATCTTGATGTATTTATTTGCTTATTTATTAGCATAGTGATGCAGGGCATGTAGGGATAATCTACAATTGCAAGCCTAAGGCTGTGTTTGAGGTTTATTTAGGTTAGAGAATTAAGAAGTGAATACTTACCTATGGTGAAAATTTTAGGGCTGCTACAGTATTAAATTAAGGGAAATTGGATTTGAAGGAATTTACGGAGACTATTAAGTTTAGAGAGAGAAAAAACTCTGCCATTGCTGATTTTGGCGGTTCCAAGACTGGATAAAGGTGGGATCATAAAGACCTTTTGCCAAACCTACATAAACATGAATCCTTTTCTTGGTTCATAAATATGAAACCCAAGTGCAGGAAGAGAACAAAAAATCATGATAATCTTTTCACTTGTTGGATAGTAGTAGATAGTGATTATCAAGTCCATAAGGTGATTGCAAGATTACTGCCTAGAAGACTTGAAGCAGTTTTGCATGAGGTGGTGGGGCCTATTCGCCCAGATGGCATCATTAAAGGAAGGTAAATTCTTGATGGGGTGCTAGTGGCTGGTGAGTGTGTGTATGATAGACTTCCAAGTGGGGGCGTGTGGCTTCTTAGGGGGTGATGAGAGTTATGGGTTTTGGCAAGTGAGAGAGGTCTTATATTGGTTAATTGATCCTTGTTTTTTTTGCTATCCTCAATGGAATTTTTTCAAGCATATTAAGGTATCAGGCAAGGCGGTTCTCTTTCTCCACGCTTTGTTTTGGTGGCAGAAGTCCTTAGAGCTATGCTAAATTCAAGTGATCATCTAGAACTGATTGAGGTGGTTTAGATGTTTCCAGATGGTCCTATTTACCCATCTACAATATGTGGATGATAAATTAGTGCTTATGAAGGCATCTGTGGAAGAAGCTTTAAATCTTAAATCTGTATTGAAGAATTTTGAAGGATTGTCAGGTTTAAAAATAATTTGAAAAAGGGCATTATGATAGGGGCTGAAGTTGTGAGAAATGATTTAAGGGCCCATAACTTTAACAATTGATATGACATTGAACATAGCAGAATGGTGGAATGGGATTCATGTAGCCAACTCCATATACTTGGGATAAGTAGTTGAGCATTATGATAAAGGATGAGGGAAACTGGAGGATGGCTTCTTGAAGATTGTGCTGGGGTGTTGGGATGTCAAGTGGGTAATTTTCCTTTTACCAAAAAAATAAACACTTGTGACTTACTACAGAGGAAAAACAAAGGTGGACTGTGTATTTCCCCCTATACTTGTATATTGTGTTTTAACAATGGTGAGACTGCTGAGCACTTCCTCCTACATTGCCCAGAAACAAGGAAAGTTTGGTACTTCTTAAATCTGGTAGGGTACTGCTGGGTCTTTCCTGAACACATTGAAGACTTCTTTTGCCAATGGCAAGCAAGATGCCTTGGAAAAAGGGGAAACGTTTATTGGCACATTGTGGTTCAAGCAGTTTTTTGGGGGGTGTGGGAGGAGAGAAACAACTGAATCTTCAACGATAATGCTAGATCTATGGGTGAGCTGTTATCCTACATATTCTACTTGTGCAACTTATGGGTGGTATCTTTGAATGATATCCAGAGCACTGTAAAGATTCTATTTTTTCTCCTTTCTCTCTAAAAGCAACAAGCACCCTTCACTAAAGATTGGAAGAGGTGACCCTGAACTTTGATGGAAGTGCCCTTGGGAGCCCTAGTCTAGTAGGGATTGGTGGTATGTTTAAGGGAGGGGATGGAAATTTATTGTGGGCTTACAGTGGTCCAATCGGGATGGCAGACTCTACAAAGGCTGTAGTTTTAGCCGTGCTAACTGGACTCCGGATTGCAAGAGATCTTGGCTTGCCTTTTGATAGAAATCGATCAGCACCCTTGAAGACTTATTCTAGAAAGAAGAAGGCCTTACAACCGGTCCTGATATGACATAGTGATGGTACTTGGGATTTGAACTGAATTAAACACCAAGGGTATTTTTGCCATTTTATAATTTTTCTGTAGGGTCCAACGGTAGGGTTTAATTTTTCTAGTTATAGTTTGTTTATATTTAAAATTTCAGAGTCATTGCATAAGTGGGATTAGAGTTATTGAGTCTTCTTTGAATTGAAATAGGATATGACAGCTTAGTTTGAGCCCTACTAGGATTATCGAGTCTAACAGCTTGACTCCTAAGACTTATGATTTGACTCCTAGGATTATTATGAGTTTAAATATGTATGGACGTTTTACACAAAGGCAATGAAGTTTATTGAGTTTTCTTCAGCTTATGCTAGCTATGGTGAGTGATTCCCATGCCCTAGAGTGATTCTAGGCACCCTGTGAGTGATTCCAGGTATTTTCTTTCTCTCTTCTTTCTCTCCCTATTTTCTCTTTTATTCCTTCAAGAAGCCATTACAGCCATCAACTGCCATAAAATTCTGATCCAAGTGACCATTCACTTGGATCAGAATATTCTGGTCCAAGTGAATACCATCAAAGGTGATTCAAGCAATACCATCAGATGGCTTGGGGAGAAGAATGGGGGGCTATTGGAGGCTAGCTCATTATCTGGATGAGGCTCAGGATATTCTGGACTCTTTGAATGCAATTCTGTTCTGGATTACCGGATAGTTAAATTTTGTAGCAGATTGCTGGCTAAATCAGTAGCTCATAGGGATTTTTTACATAGTGAGAGTTATGCCTATGTAATCTATGCGTGTGCCTCTCTTTGTACATATTCTCATGTACCCCTTTCATTTTTAGTGAAATCTGTTATCTTTCAGCTTATAAAAAATTTCCTTTTTACCTATTTGGGAATCCTATCGGGAGCTAAAGCCTCTTCAAAAAATTGAAAAGAAGGTTTTGGCTATGCTCAGATGTAGATATTTTATATCTATCATTTGCCTATGTTAATATTCGTATGTGAACGCAAATATATCCACATTATACATGCACTTCAGATACGTGGATTGCTTATGGTTATGGATGATATTTCTAAGATATAACAAGTATTCAGGTGCATGCCTCATTCATGCGGATATTATTGTAATATTGTGTGGTTGAGCAATGTAAACAGTGATGCAAGTATGGTTTTGTATTAATCACCAAACAAACCCTCAAACAAAACCTGCAACCAACGCAACATGGCAATTCCAAAGAGTTAAAAAGATAGATAATGAAAAATAAAAAAATTGGGGTAGAAAAGCAGTATTTACCAATTAGACATGTGCCTCTTAAAGAAGAGGGAGGAGTGTTCTAGCCATTGCTTGTAGTTGCACCTTTTTTTGTTACACTGATTTTTCTTTGTAGGATCCATCTGGAATCATGGTGATTGTAATATTTCATTTCATTGTTCCTCCGGTTTTATGTGCTTTCTTCGCCAGCTTGTAATACTGGGTCATTTCCATCTCAGATTACATCCACGCTTACATTTGCTGCAGCGTGTGCCTCGGCGGGAATTACTGTGCTCATAGGCAATGATCTTGGTGATTGTTCTAAGAACCACTGCGGAAGGTTTGAAACAGCAACAGCAATGGCTTTCATCAGCTGGTTTGCTGTTTCTCCATCTTTTTTCTTGAACTTTTGGTCGTTGGCATCTCGATGACAGGAAATTATAGAGAAGCCTTCATTGTCTGAACGGTTTGTGTTATTCGTGTGATATTCTGACAAAATGGATTGGTGGCGAAAAAATGACTTATATTAAATCAGAAACATAGATGCATTTTTATAGATACAGAGGTGAACCAACTTGTATTGCTACATCAGCTTGCAGTTACAACTGTCTTGATTTTCTTGATTCTTGGGACCTTCTAGAATTCTTGGACAGCTCTAATAGTCCCCCTCAAGTTGGAGCATGGATAATGCCCAACTTATCTAGTAGAAGAATAAACTGGTCAGCACCCAAGGCCTTTGTCAAGATGTCAACAGGCTGGTCTTTGGAGGAGAGATGGTAGAGTTGAATGTCTTTGCGCTAGACGTGTTCTCGGACAAAATGACAGTCAATTCAATGTGCTTTGTGCGTTCGTGGAAGACTGGGTTAATGGCTATATGGATTGCTGCTTGGCTGTCACAGTAGGCTGTAATAGAGGCAGTTGAAGATCGTTGAAGACACGCCAGAGCCAAAGGGCTTCACTTGTAGCCACAACCATGGCTCGATATTCAGTGTCGGCTGAAGAGCGTGGCACGGTCATTTGTTTCTTTGTCTTCCAGGATAAAGGAGAATTTCCAAGCATTGTGATAAAGCTAGTCACGGGTTGCCGTGTACATGGACAAGAAGCCCTGTCAAAGTCACAATATATTTGAAGTTGAAGTTCATTGTGGCTAGGAAAGTAAATACCCTGACTAGGATTAGTCTTGAGATATCAAAGTACACGTCGCACTGCAACCACGTGTTCTTCTGTAGGTGAACTTAGGAATTGAGTTAACACATGGACTGGATAACTAATCTCGGACCTAGTAATAGTGAGTAGACTAAGGATCCAACCAGACGTCGATACTGAGCTGGGTCATTGAGAAGTGGACTCTTTGGGTCGTCAAAATGACGTTGTTGTTCCATAGGATGAGAAATGGGTTTGGAGTCCAACATATTAGCTTCTGTTAAGATATCCATATCATACTTATGTTGTCCAACAAAAATGTTGGAATCGGATCTGGTGATCTCAAGGCTCAGGAAGTATTGCAATGAACCCAAGTCTTTGAGATAGAAACAATTATCCAAGCATGTTTTGAGCTACGCTATGCGGTTTGGATCATCCCCTATAATCACAATATCATCAACGTAGACCAGTATAGCAATGAAGTTATTTTGCTGGAAGTGAATAGTGAATAATCAACACTTGACTGAGAAAATCCAATCTTCTTTAGGGCAGAGGTAAACTTTTCAAACTAGCATCTAGATGTTTGCTTAAGACCATATGAGGACTTATGGAGTTTGCACACTTTGTTCTTTGATAAAGAGGGAAAGCTGGGTGGTAGTGTTATATAGACCTCTTCATGTAAATCATTGTGTAAAAATGCATTATTGGCATTTATACATTTGAATGTAACCAACTTGGCCATTGGAGCATAAGTATCATGGTAATCATGACCTTCTACTTGAGTATAACCTTTAGCCACCAATCGAGCCTTGTAACGCTCAATGGAACCATCAGCCCAAAATTTCAGTTTGTATGCCCATTTTGACCTAATGGCCCGTTTATTGGGAGGAAGATCAACTATTGACCAAGTATGATTGTGCTCGAGGGCGGCGAATTCATCTTGCATGATCAATTGCCAATTAGGGTTACAGACAACTTGTGTATATGTTTTGGGCTCAATGAGATTGGTCAACTTTGTAGTAGGTCCATAACAAATATAGTCATTGAAATGGTTGGGTAACCTATGAGCATGGAGAGGCCGTGTATTTGTATGGGTGGGTGCAACAAAAGTAAGAGGCTCAAATGGATCAGTTTCAATGATGGGTTGTGGTGACATGGCTTTTGATGTGGTTGGTGATGTTGTAGTAGGAAAGTTAACTGGTATGTTTGGGGCATAGGGGATGGTTTCATATCCATCGGTGAATGTGCCAATTGTATTTGGAACATGTTCAGAGAGTATGGCCGGATCATGGTCCTTGAAAGGGAATGCGTTTTCATAAAATGTTACATCCCGAGAAACAAATATGTGGCCGGTGGCTAAGTTATATACTCTGTACCCCTTTGTTCCATAGGGATATCCCACAAACGCATTTAGAAGCACGTGGAGCAAACTTATCTTTAGGAAGTGGCCATTCTTGGGCATAACAAAGGCAGCCAAAAACTCGTTGATGACTATAATTGGGTGTTTTTCTAACCAAGACTTCATATGGTGTTTTTTCCATGAAGTGGTATGGACGGTATGTAGTTGATTAAGTATGTGGCTGTAGGCACACATTCTTCCCAAAATTCTAAGGGAAGTGATGCTTGGAAATGAAGAGCCCTAGCCACCTCAAGAAGGTGTTGATGTTTCTTTTCAACAATCCCATTATGTTGGGGGGAATTCACACAAGATGCTTGATGGACAATTCCATTAGTTAGATAAAATTGCTGCGTAGGCCCCAAGAAAAATTCTTTTCCATTATCAATATTTGACAAGTCTCAGACTTACACTATCAAGAAGGTGTGCACCATGTTGCAAAAGGAGATCAATATTTGACAAGTCTCAGACTTACATTTCACGAGGAATAGCCATGTGCATCTACCATAGTAATCTACTACTGTTAAGAAATACCTTGCTCCTGAATGAGAAACTGTGTTATGCACCCCAAATATCAACATGGATTAGGCCAAACTATGTGATACTCTAGTGTGCTTAGCATGTTCACAAATGTCACACACATTTGAAGTAGTAGAAGAGAACAATTGCTGGGCAGATGCATGTCCTAGTCTATTGTGCCATGTGTTGTAGCTATCAACAACACTTGATGAGTTATTTGCTAGAGAATGGTGAGTCTTTAAGTAATATATGCCATGGAAGAGCTCCCCTTCATTAATTGTCTTCTTTGAAGCTTGGTCTTGTATAAGACAGTGAGTGTAGGAAAACATAACAACACAATCCAATTCTGTTGTGAGCTTTCCAACGGACAACAAGTTATGTTTAAATGTAGGAACATAAATGACATTCTTAAGTATAATTCCAGGTAGGGGTGAGCCAAAAAAAAAAAGGAACCAACTGAAATTGAACTGGTCGGTTTGGTTTCGGTTCAGTGTTTTCAAAAAACCGAAGGTACTGATTTGGTTTCGGTTAACCGAATCGACCGATATACATATATTTCTACATATTTTATATATTTATGTATATTATATATATTATTTATATATTATATATTAATAAATAAGAATTATATATAAACATATATTTACAACATATGATATATTATTTATTATTTAAAATATAATATTATATATATTTATAATTTTTATTATATATTTATATATATTTTTATAATAAATATTGTAAAAATTAAAAAACCAAAAAATCGACGAACCGAACCGGTCAACCGGTTAACCGATAGGTTTCGATTACCAGTTTTCCAAAAATCGGTACTACCGGTTTAGTTACAAAATGAACCCCACGGTTCGGTACCCCTAATTCCAGGAGCCAAAAGTGCTTCTCCTTTATGCGTGGCGACGATAATAGAGCCATTAGGCATAGAGACAGATGCAAGAATGTGCAACGGTACCATATGCGATAATAAAGATATATTTGAAGTCATCTGATCTGAAGCTCCACTATCAAGGATCCAGACATCGTGCATTTGTGCATTAAAGGAGAAATAAATCTTATCGGACATAGTGGTTGTAATAGTGACTTGAGATTGCTCATTTGCCAAAAGATGCAGGAGTTGAGCATATTGGTCATGTGTGAGATTCATAGGGGTTGTCTGAGCACTTAGATCAGTCTGTGCATAAGCAGAAAGTTAAGTGCAAGTCTATCCTATGAGCTCATAACAACGCTCCTTAGAATGTCCATTTCGTTTACAATGCTCACATTTTCGTTTGGGACGAGATGTAGGTTGCTGTGTGGAAGCATGGAGAGCTACAACTTCTTGGAATGTTGAGCTCTTCTATGACACCGTGATTTGGCGTCTTTCCTTTTGAATAACTAGTGCATAGGCTCTGTTGATGCTTGGAAGTGGCTCTGAGGCAAGGATGCCGAATCGAACATTAGTAAAATTGTTGTTCATACCTATCAAGAATTGATAGAGCCGATCCTTTTCTCGTTCCATTAATATTTCTTTGGTTGTAAGAGGTGATAAGATTGCAAGCTCATCCCATAATTCTATGATCTTGGTGAAATAGGAGGCAACTGAGAGTTCTCCTTGGTGAAGGAGTGTTATATCACGCTTGAGCTGATAAATTCAGGGTGCGCTACTCTGAGAAAAGTGTTCTTGTAGATCGATCAAGACGTCTTGAGTTGACTCTGCGTAGGCTACACTTCCCTGTAGCTCACGGGGCAATGGATTGAGGATCCATGATATGATCATGGAATTACATTTGATCCATGCATTTTCTTCAGCCACAGATTGTTCTAGACATTGTAGAGATCCGTCTATAAAACTGTATTTATTCTTGGATAGTAGTGCATTATGCATTGCTCGTTGCCAAGTAGAGTAATTATCACCGGTGGGGGGGGGGGAGCACCAGTATAGCACCAGGGTTATCCGACAGGTGCAAATAATACGGAGATGATGGATCAAACTCAGCCATGGCGACATGTTAATCAACAGAGAAAAAAAATGGCAAAATGAAGGCAAGAATTACCTTGATCGAAGGGAGCAAGATGCAGCGGCAGCCCTCTATCCAGGAGGCGCAAAGGTCGTTTTTGCCAGAAGTACAAACGGGTTATTGAAATTCAGAACGCAGAGGCGACGATTTCTTCAAAGGATACGAGATGCATGCAATGTCAACAGGGAAATAGGGGGGTATCGTTCGACTCTGATACCAAGACAAAATGGATTGGTGGCAAAAAAATGACTTGTATTAAACCAGAAACATAGATACATATTTATAGATATAGAGGTGAACCGACTTGTATTGCCACATCAGCTTTAGGGGGTGCTAGTGTGGATGAAAAATTGGTGGGTGTGGATTGGTCCACACCACACCTTGTGGCAGGGACTAATCCACTTCACACCACAATCTACAGCTGTTTTGAACTGTGGATAAATTGTGTGGACTGTACCAGTCCACACCCACAGTGGCGTTCTGTAGGCGTGGTGTGGACCACACCACACTTTTTGATTCCATGTATCTCATATACATTTATGAATGATCTACACC